TTTTTGACTTCAAAGATATGCCAACCAAAGAAGAAGGCACCACCTCACTCAGGGTGGAGCTAGGACAGCTTTGCAAGTTTTAAAATAATTTATTATAATTTTAAAATTTTTTTTATATTATCTATTAAAATAATACTTAATAAGTTTTTATGTCACAAAATTTATTTATAATATTGTCTACACTAAATGAGTAAACTATTTCTTTTTTAATATAAACAATCAAAGAGTTTGAGAGAGATTTATCCTCCATTTTGCTGCAAAGTCTCGTTCTCACAATTTTCATGGTAGAAAATACTTTTTTTGTTATTGCTATAGAAAATAGAAAACTAAGCATCAAAGTAATTAATTTAAAAATGAGACTATAGACCTTTGATTTTCTTGTCTTTACAAGCCATTGACATAGTTTAGAAATACGGCAACATCTTATTTCTTTATCCTACGACTTTCTATAAGTAAACAAATTTTTTTTCCCTTTTTACAAGCTAATTACACTTTAAATGAGTTTATTTTTCTTTTATACTAATTTATGTTCCTATTGCTTTTCTTTATATGACTATATCTAAGGTTTTTTCCTTTTATTGAATTCATGTATGTTCCCTTTATGGATTTTTACTTTTTTTTTCAAAATTTTTTTTACTCTAATCCAATTTTATTCTATATAACTTCAATATTACCATAATATTCAATTTTATTTGTAATCTTAATAACTCTAAATCCTAAAAGGAAATTATGCAATTTTTTGTGATAATAAAAATCACAAAAAATCAATAAATTTCATTACTTAAATATTACTCTCTCTATACTAGAATAATAGATTTTTTTGTTTTATCTTCAAATGAAAGATTTGAAAACAATCTTTATCTTTACCTGTTTTATACTTAAAAAAAAAAAGGAATAAATATCTACTTCCATTAGAAGATAAATAATTAAAGTTAAGAGATAATTATATGGTTAAAGTAGAAAAAAACTATTTATCTTCCTTAAAATAAAAAAAAGATTATTATTCTAAGATAAATTCTAAATAAAAAATATCAATTATTCTAGGATAGAGAGAGTATACTAATTTTTTTGTTAAAACATATCCACTAACAAGTATAAAACAAAAATTTAAAATAAAATAAAAAAACTTACAAAACTTTAAAGTTGAAATCCAATATAACAATATATGATTTATATAAAAAAAGATAGTATTGTTTTTAGTCTTTATCAAGAAATTAGTAGTTCCTTTTGGTGGTTCCTTAATTTGTCTTCAAGCTTTTAATGAGGAGAGTAGTATTGCAGTAACTTACATTTAGTCGCCGCTAAAGCCTCTTTTTTCTCTTTTTCTTTTTTATTTTTTTTTTGAAGTTGATTAGTTGAAGGAGATATTGACACTGGAACAGTGTGGCTAAATATTAGAGAAACAACATAGAAATTGGTTTTTTTTTTTTTTTTTTACAAAATTCAATTGTGAGCAATTTTTTTGAAATCGAATTGGAGGTCAAACCATTTTGATCTCTAATTTACAATTTTAACGGTCCAACCAATTTAATCGGTTAAAAAATTGAGTTGATTCAATTTTGAGTTTATATATTAAATATAATATAATTTAACTTATTTCAATGATTTATTAGTGGCTCAAGTGGTTAGGGTTCCATATTTGTATAAAGAACTAGGGTTCGAGTTGTATGTGCGTTAAAATTATTCAATTTACATAATATGATTATAATAAATAAATGTTAATGCATCGGTATGCAACAACCTTGCTTTGGATCAAGTGGCAGGAATTATATGAAAGCTTTAAGAGATTTAGTGTGCGAATCGAAAGGAGGCTATCTTGCCTTTAAAATCCTTGTAATATTCTTTAAAAGAGATTCTTTGCAACAAATTTCACCTTTAGTGGCAAATTTCTCGCAAACCTCTCATGAGGTCTGCTGTTCGAAACCCACACGAGGCAACTTTTGGAGAATTTCGTCCAAAGAGTTGGCCCGGCCTGCTGCACGGGTTGCCGGTTCTGGTCGGTCCGAATGGTTTGAACGGTTTTGAACGGTTCAACCACTTAAATGGTTTAAGATATCAACCCGACTCATCGGGTACTGATTCACCGGTCGATCCGATTTAATTTTCAAAACCTTGATTGTGAGCCTTAAGGTAGGTGGATTTTAAATAATAATAAATAATTAAATTGTTAAAATGAATAATTAATTATATAGATTATATTTGGGTTCTTAAAATAACCTATTATTATTAGATTTTTTTT